CAACACTCGTTCCCAAGCCCGATGTTCCAACACCCTATCCGCTTTATGACGGTCCTCGAGATTCTTGTATTTACTATAAATGATATCGTGATTGCGGCAAGCAGCATCAAGCGGGTTCACTCCACCGTCACCTCAATTCAATCTCTTTTCTAACCGTGTTCCAGGACCCGCAAATTGATAACCTAAATGGTAAACATTTTAAATAATGATAAAACTATTAGCGAGGAATTATTTTGAATAATTACACACACACACACACACACACACACACAATTAATGTGGGCTTCGAATGGTAATTTGTTGATTAAAGTATTCAATATCCCTGCACCTCGTTTTCCACGTTGTTACTGTTTAACCATTATTTTCATATTGACAGTTATTGTTCGATGACGTGCGATGCATTTAAAAAAACAGACCCTCACGCTACCTATCGTGAATTTTGAAAAAGTAGTAATATTGCATCCAGTAAACACAGTAAACTATTGCCAAACACAATACGTGCATTGATTTGCGGACCGTCAAATTGTGGAAAAACAAACTTGATGTTTACCCTATTGACCGATATCAACGGACTTCGATTTGAAAATGTATACGTTTACTCAAAATCGTTGCATCAGTGCAAGTATCAACTACTCGTGGAAGTTTTACGTGGTGTCCAAGGAGTGCAGTTGTTTACCTATGAAAACGGGGAAGATGTACCATCGGTGGATAACATCCTGCCCAATTCCGTTTTTATATTCGACGATGTTGTTATGGAAAAACAAAATGTAATGTGTGATTATTTCGCGCGTGGACGTCACCGTCGAGTTGACGTGTTTTTTCTCTCACAAACATTATCACGCATACAAAAACAAATGTTACGTGACAACACAAATTTGGTGGTGTTGTTCCGACAGGATGAAGTTAATCTACGGCACGCGTACGATGAATACGTGTGTTGCGATATGAAATTCGGCGAATTCAAAGAGTTTTGCAAACATTGTTGGAACAAAGACCGGTATGGATTTGCAGTGATTTGTTTAGACTTCGCGCGTGACGGTGGTCGGNTGATTTGCAGTGAATTGTTTAGACTTCGCGCGTGACGTTGGCCGGTATAGATACAAGTTTGACACATTTGTGACGATATGAGTACTATTAATAATAGAATTCGTGAAGAAAAAAAAACGTTGTTGAAATTATTGACGGAAGCCCGGGAAAATGTTCGAAAAATGTACACGGAATTGCATCGTGGTGAAGCGGATTCATTGAGTCGCGTAAAACGAGAATTGGCACCAATCATTGCACCATTGGATAAAATCGTGACACAGCAACAGCAACAGCAACAGCAGCAGCAACAACAACATGAACAACAACTACAGCAATCCATCAAAAGTTTAAATGATGATAGAGACAATATGGAACACGATGATGGGTTTTTCCATCAGTACATGTATCAATGGTCAATGAACCCCAACAGAGATAAAATGTATGGACCAAAGGTATCACCGGATGGAACAATGACATTAGGTGAAGCCGACAATATCTTTGTCGATGGAGGAATAATCAACTTACTGGAGAAAAAATTCCTGCTGACATTAGGTCTTGTGGACTTACTTTTTTTCGAAAAATCCCGGTGTTTACTCCGAATCGGATTTGCAGGCATACAAAACAATTTTACTCGAAACCGGTGTACATTTGAATAAAGACGGAACATTAAAAAAAGGAGGTCAAAAATATGTTAACACTATTAAACCATTGTTTGAAAACAATGATGGTGGTAGCGCAAACAATTCCTTACCATTATTTGAAAACAGCAGCATCAGTGACACATCTATTATCGGTGCGGGTCTACAGTTAAGGTTGAACAACAAGAAAAAAGAGTATGTGTACTGGGACGAACCCAACGAGCTCGTAGATCGTTTACGTTTATTGATATCGGCCCGGTCAGCTGNAAGTATGTGCACTGGGACGAACCAAACGAGCTCGTAGATCGTTTACGTTTATTGATATCAGCCCGGTCAGCTGGTAACACTGGAATTGCACCGGAAATCATTTCTATATTGGAAGAGTTGCAGGAAACCGGTTACATTGAACAAATACCATCAACATTATGAATAAGAACATTGCCTATGAACTACATCAGCAGGCCCGTAGGACGTACACCCGTGCTCGAATAAATATCAAAGGTCTCGATGATGTTTGGCATGCTGACCTCGTGGAAATGCGCGCATACCCCGATCGACGTCATCGGTATATTTTAACGTGCATCGATGGATTTTCAAAATATGCGTGGGCCATTCCGTTGAAAAATAAAACAGCCAAAGAAGTTACTGCTGCCATGAATGGAATATTAAAACAAGGTCGTCATCCTAAACTTTTGCAAACGGACAATGGTAAAGAATTCTACAACAAACAGTTTCAAAAACTGATGTCACAATATGCANTAACAAACCGTTTCAAAAACTGATGTAACAATAAACAATCAATCACTATTCAACTTATTCCACTATAAAAGCCTGTCTCGTGGAACGTTTTAACCGCACGTTGAAAAACGCAATGTGGTGCGATTTTAGTGCACGTGGTTCGTACAAGTGGGTGAATCGGTTGCCTACGCTGTTGCACGAATACAATAACGTGCGTAAACATAGAACAATCGGAATGATACCGGTGCAAGCTGTGCAAAACCCCGACCTGGTTCGACTCAAGTTACGCAAAATACCCGATAATTTACCGATAAAATTCCACGTGGGTGACAAAGTTCGGATTAGTGTACATAAATCAGTGTTTGACAANTCAAAGTTCGAAAGAGTGTTGCGAGGTCAGTGTTACGTTAAATGGTTAGGATTTGGTCCAGAACACAATTCATGGATACCGAAAACCAATATCTTACCTCAATGATTGTCGATATACAAGGTATTGTGGCAGCTGACCGATCATTTTTGGTCAAGGAACTGACTGCTATTGCCATAGACTGCACTTCTTTCGCCCATTGGATGTTCAAACATCCAAAAAGTATCAAGGAGGATGCTAAAACAAACTTTTGGTTGAAAAAATACCTACATGGAATGGATACACGTTGCGGGGATGTGGAATACAATGAGTTGCCGAGAATAATGAAACTCTTGCGATGCGAAACCATATACGTGAAGGGAACTGTAAAAAAGAGAGTAGTGGAAAAGAACATACCGGGACAACGTAGAGGATTTGGACTGTCCTCCTCTGTACAATTTAAGTTGTGTTACAAAACCATGTGCAGTTTATATAAGACAAAAGTTTAAAACAATGGATGAATTATAACATGTAACGCTATTGTATTATAAAATATATATATAAACACGAATACTTTATAATATTCATTTTTATTTCTACAATAAGTATATTTTTCATAAATAAATTATAAATTAAAGATTATATAATAAATTGACATATATTGTTAATAAAATACTAAATACAATAATATATTTTATACAAAATAAATTGTTATGTATTTAAAGAATAATGTCCCCACGCTTTTGTATATACATTTTTATACCCAAACTCGTCGCCGACTATTGCACGCTTGTCATAGTAGTTGGACAATGCGAGTTTCCTCGTTTCTACCGTCAAAACATTGTGACGTTTTGAACATATGATTGAAATTTTCTTGTGGATTTGATTTAGTTTATTTCACAAACAATTTAAATAGTCAACCATATTTATTTCATGTTTCACTACACCCATACTAATACCCATCAATCGCTTCACTTCTTCTTGCCGCAAAACGTTTTTATAATTTTTGTAGGCAATCAGGTACGCATAGACTTTGGGCAAGAGTGCAACAATTTCCTCCATATGCATACCTTTACATTCGTCGGTAAATGTACCCGGTTGTTTTTTACGTTTATCACTGTAACATGGATGATCAGTGGGATAGTTGGAAGTGTCGAAGTATTCAAACAGATATTTTTTCAAATCATCCTGAAAACTATGCGTTAATATTAAATAAATAAAACTGTCTGTATCCATATACACGAGTCTAAGTCTTTCAGGACCATAAAATGGTTGCATTACATCATAATGAAACTTGTACATGATGCATTTATCCAGCACGGCCTGTCCAATAAAAATGGGTTTAAAAAAATTAATTTTTTCTTTATACATGTGTACAGCTACAAGATTTTCATTAAATATTGTGGTGTGACCAAACGATGGTTTCGCTATCAGTTTTGATAATTTATCTTCGTTACAAACGAGTTGAATATTTTGATGTTTTCTCACGTTCTCCAATGTTTTACCAAGTAAAATTAAAAATTTTTATTATTAAAAAAATTAAACGTATAAAAATATTAGTATTACCATAGTTGGAGTTGATCATATATTTTGGTAGATCTTGTTCAAACTTGTTGGAGGCTTTTTTACGTAATTCTGTATTCATTTGGATGTAGGGTGCCAACCATCGAGATTGTTTAAACTTTATGACTTTATGCAGTTTTGTGATAACCACACCGTGTTTTACCGCTTGCTTTAATGTTCGATAGTGTGCAACGTAATTACGTTTTGGATACAACGTGGTCATCAGTTTGTTGTATTTGGCAGACGGTAGAGGTGGACGCTCGTTTACCGGAAACAATGGTAAATCGTTGTGTAAATCATGTAAATGTTGTGGATAATCTACATCGACTTGCACAAGATATCCATGATCAGCATCCTCAGCTGTGTCAAGTATTTCCTCCAATGTAACAGTTGACCATTCAAAATACCAAGTGGCATCGGTTCCATCATTGCTTAAAAAAACAAATGTTTTTTTACACAAACATTAATTTTTTTTATTTAAAAAAACTACCTGTTCCATATAAATTTGTATCATCTAGGTATCGAAGATATTTATGTGGAATATTGGGATTGTAATCAGAGATACCTGGATGATTTGCTCGAGCATACCGCTGATTGACCTATATTAAATATATTAAATATAATATATATATATATATATTTATAAATATTATTAAACATATTTTTATATTTTTAATAATCACTGTAGCGACTAACGTCGTAATCAAAGAAGAAAAGAAATCAAACAACCAGATCGTTCTTTAGATGGCGTAAAGCCGTTTAATCAAGAAAAGTGTTACACAAAACAAAAAAAAGATAAAATAGAACCAGAAAAATTAAACCAAAATTAACAATAATACTATTATTAACAAAGTCGCACTGGGATGGTTTCGGTTGAATTTTTGGACGGACGGCGTAACCACAGAGATAAATGTCACGAAGATGACTAACTGGACGTATTATTGCGGCGGGGTATTCGACGCTATGCATTTGTTGGACTTTACACCACGACGATAACGCGTGTCTGTAACGGTCCGGTTTACAGTGAAGCGGTGGCTGAGAAGGAGCTGATACGACCGCGGGGTGTCAACGTGTGACAACGCCGTGGCCGTGTCATCACACATACTTGTGTCAAACCTCCACGTATACCCAATTCAAATATTAATAACATATCTGGGTCTGTTATCAATTCAATGTTGACATCAGTATATTTTAACATAGTATCAAATGATAGGGCTGGACATGAGTTATAACGAGTGGGATCCAGAGAATAATTTTTCAAACTCTCCGCGCGAAACTTTTCAAATATGTCAGCAAGTACCTAAAAAATAAATGTATTTATAATTGTTAATTACTAAAAAAATTAACAACATACCATAACGTCGACAAGTAAATAATTGTCACTGTAATCACCAATAGTTTTGCATACAAAGTGTTGCCATATTTTTTTTGCATGTTCATAGTCCTCTTCGGATACTGTAGTTTTCGTAATGGAACTGTAAACATTTTCGCGGGTTGGCAACTGGTTTTCGTCGAGTTTTTCCCAACTGTCTACGTATTCGTATAGGAAAACCGATTTCCGTGTGACCAACTCCAACGATTTAAAGACATTTAATGTATGTGCAAAATCAAGTAAAGTCAAGGTGGTTATAAGTTGATACAAACTCGCTTGCAAAAATCGATATGAATCTATAAATCGAAGTTGAAAATAATCGCTTATTGTCTTACTGAACGAAATATATTTTTCTTCGGATTGTGCTATAACAGTAATGTCTTTATTGTCGTAAGCCATTTCTGGTATTATCATGTGCGAGTCATAGTTTGAAAGACCATGCATGATAACTGGTATGAATGCGGAATATCGTCGTTGTAAATTACATTTGTGGCATAAAACAGCTCGAAATTTTGCCGTCCAATGATTATGATCCTTGACTTTTACTAACTTATCGGTAAACTCTATTAAACACGAGTCGCAATGTTTTGTGGTATTGAAACGATGTTGTTCCTCAGAAGTTNTACACGAGTCGCAATGTTTTGTAATATTGAAACGATGTTGTTCCTCAGAAGTTAGAGGATTCATCTCGATGTTAATTTTCATGATATCTGATACTTGTTTTCCAATATCCACCAACGCTGATACAAAATGTTTAGCAGCATCAGGTCCTCGATACATTACTGGTTCCTCCGGTAATCCCTGACACATGTTTTGCGGTAATATTTTGTAGTTGCGTACTATGTAAAAACAATAACTCATTGGTTTATGTTTTTGTATAATCATAGACTTGTCCGATATTTGTTCAATCGTTCGAACAAGTAAACTTTCCATATCAGCGTAGATAACTAATGGTATTGGTTCTTCTCGTCTTGTGTTTTTAAAACGTAATATTGAAAGATCAGAGTTAGGCTGTGGTAGAACAATGCGACCCTCCTTGAATTTTCCACACATTTTTACATGTTCTTTAAGTCCCTCTTTCCCACTCGCACGAGTTAATAACGGTTGCTCGTTAAANGACGAGTTAATATCGGTTGATCGTTAAATACGCTGAGACATCGTTTACTATGATATTCTTGTCGCTTACTTTTTGAGCGTTGTTTTGATACAAGCCTTGAAAATTTTGAGATGTAACAATAGTGGTTAGTTTCATTATTTTTCAAGTATAGTAAATCAATATGATCTGTAGCGGTTTTGGATTTAGTTACACGCAATGGAAAAACAATGTTTTTATTGTCCAACGCATACACATTTACCGATATTGTAGGATTTTTTCGTTCGAAGCGATTAATTTGTTCAATTGGTGTTGGAAAATCAATACCAAAAAAATCTATGTTAAAACGTTGTTCTAATTCAACATATGCAACATTCCAATCACTTCTTTTAACTCTTTTATTGTAATGACATAAGATTGACCATTTGAAACATTGTTGATCATCGTTTTTAATATTTACAACAGCCTTTTTGTTTTTTATACACGATGGTAATTCAATATACGATGATCCCTTCAGTGGGTTCAATTTATGTACTCTCAACAAAATACCATCAATTGATATTAGCGACCATCCACTTTGCTTGATTTCCATTTCTTGTTTTTCAGTTTCCAACTTTAATGTTATTTTTTCCATTACTGATGTAAAATCGGTTCCTAAGTCTACTGTTTTATTGCGCGACTTGAATGATACATCTTTGAACTCACCAGTTACAGTATGAAAGTACGTTGTATGTAGTAAAACATTGAATTTTACCATACCCTTTACAGTTAACATTTTTAATAAATTTATTATTTCGTGATTTATTTCAACCATGAAATCGACAATGTCATCAAC